GGGGGTCTGCTCTGGGGCTCGAGGCTGCCCCCCAAACAAGGGGGGAACGGTTTTGAGGGATGGGCTTGCATAGGAACATCATCCCTCCAGCCCGCCCTGAAACCAAGTGCACGAGGAGGGCTCGTAGCTGAGTAAGGGCAAGGCCTGGGACTAGGGGGCTTCTCTGCTCCTCCGAAATTCAGCACCAAGGGTGCAGCAGGTTCCTCCTGCCCCTCGGTGCAGGCTGGCACTCGAGGCACACCCGTACATCCATCTGCGCCCCTTTCTCCCAGAACAGCAGCCTCTCCACCACCGAAGAAGTTCTCACTGGCTGTCCGCCCCTCGCCATCCCTGCCTTCACCTCCACACCCGGTCCTACGGCCGCGGCACCCTCCTCCCCCCTTGCTCCTCTCCCTTTGCTCCACCTGCCTTCACCCGGCTCGACCTGGGCCAGCTGCTGCCAGCCCTGCCCGCAGGCTGCCTTCCTGGGGGGGGTCACCCCACAGCCCCCCTCTTTCCCTCTGCTCACCAACCCTTCCTGTGGACACCACGGGCTGCACGGCTGAAGCAGCCGCCGGAATGGCGGGATGGGGAACGCCCAGCCCAGGGTGAAAGGACGTTTATAAATATGTGCCTGCACGCGTGCCAGCCTCTGCCTCCCGCTGCCTGCGCCCCTCCGAGAGCTTGGAGCCACCGGCCAGCCCGCAGCAGACAGAACAGAGCATCCTCCTGGCGCCTCAGATCTTCGTCTCTGGGCTGCTGGGACTCAGGGCTGGGAAAGAGTCTCGGATCCTCGCCAGCTCCATGGCGCAGAGGTGGCCAAAGACCTTGTTGTACCACTCGGGAGACCGGCCCCTGGGGAAGGGAAGGGCAGGAGGAGGGTGAGGAGGAAGAAGAGGCCCCGGCCAGCACTGAGGAGACGCCCGTCACTCCTTGCTGGGGCCAGGCGAGGCGAGGGCCGAGCAGCTCCCGCGCGCCACCGCTCCCCGCCGGTACCTGAGGTCAGCCCTGCAGATGTGGGTCACCCGGGAGCGTCCCGCGGCGCCGGGCTCCATGAGGTACTGGGACGTCAGCACGACGGCTTTGACGCCTCCTTCCACCGGCAGCTGCTCGTGCTCCACCGAGATGGCGGCGAGCAGGCAGGCGCCCCGCGGCAGGTCCGTGCGCCAGCGCCTGCGGCACAGAGCGGCCCCGCTCAGCACCCCCCAACAGTGGGGACCACAGGGTGGGCAGGAGCGGGGGGGCCTCTCCACCCACGGGACAGCACCCGGGGCTGGGAACAGGGGGGACCACCACACCAAGACCAAACCTCCCCCCTCGAGGCCCTTCCCGGCCCTCACCGGAGCAGCACGCAGTCCCTGCGGGGGTGGGGGGCCATGCTGTCCGTGACATAGTGGTAGACCTCCAGGTTCTTGTCCAGGGCCTCCAGCACTTTGCTCTGCAGCAGGTCCTCGTCCCAGAGGTGACGCTCCCGCAGCACCCGGTGCAGCACCGCGGACGGAGGGGCCTCAACATCCGTGGAGACCTTCCACAAGCGCAGAGGGTGCCCGTCCCCAACCTGAGGGGTCAAGGTGAAGGTCAGGGAGGCTGGCCGTGGGCCCCCCGCCGTGCTGACATCACAGAATCATCTCAGGTGGAAAAGACCCTGAAGCTCCTCCAGCCCAACCATAACCCTCCCCCTGACCGTTCCCAGCTCCCCCAGATCCCTCAGCGCTGGCTCAGCCCGACTCTTCAACCCCCCCAGGGATCCCGGGGACTCAGGACACAGCCAGCTCTGCTAACAACAGCGTGGTGGGCTCTCTGCAGGACTGCTGGGCACAGAGCACCCCCCCTCCCAGCGCTGTCCAGCTCTCAGCCCCCCCACTCTGGCCACTGATCCCTTTTCCCACACAAGAACCAGCACCGAGGGGGACCAACAGGCCGGGACCCGTGGCTCCTGGTGCCCACCCCGCAGGCATTTCCCTGTGTGACCCCAAGCCCCCCTCCACGCAGAGGCATTGACCTTTTTGCAGGAGAGCTCCGTGTTCAGGGGCCCCGGTGTGCTCAGCCAGCCCTTGAATTTCTCTGATGACTCTTTCAGCAGGTTCTGGACACTCTGCTCGAAGTAGGAGTGCAAGTCTTTGCTTTCCCCCTGGCACACGAAGTCAGTCAGGGGGTGGGGGTAAGCATCCGCTGCCATATAGGAGCTGCTCAGCTGCAGCAAGATGTCGTGGGAGACCTACAAGCCGAGAGCACAGGGGTCTTCAGAAAGGCGGAGGGATCCCACGCGGACTTTGTGAGTGGTGCTGGGCAGCTGGAAGCCCCAAACCCCTCATCCCACGCAGGCGGGGAGGACAGGCGCAGCCTCTCTGGACACGCCCATCCCACAGCTCCTGACCCACAGTGCCACGGACGCAGCCGGGTTCACCCCTGGCGCTGAGCGCTGCCCCGCCGAAGGGGGGGTGCCCTTGCATCGCCCCACGCCCACTCTGCGGGACCGGCAGCACCCGGGGAGGGCAGCGCCAGGCTGGACACACCACAGTCACCCACCTGGAAGAGCTTCTTGCAGTCGGTGATCATGTGGGAGAGCCCCTGCGTCGCAGCCATGTTCTCGTTGAGGTCCTTCTGGTCGGGCTTCCCCATGGTGCCCCTCTTCTGCATCACCCTGCGGGGGAGCAGACGGGTGAGGGCTCAAAACAGGGAACTTCTGATTGAGACTCAACCGTGATGCACGGAAGTTTTGCTTGTGTTTGTTTCCCAAGGACGCCTCAACTGTTCTCCCACGGCCTCTCTGTCTAGACTAAAGTCAAACGCTCCCTGTGTAACTCAGAGCCCTCAGCGGGCACTTGGGCAAACTAAGACGAGGGGAACTGGAACAAAAAGACACAGAGATACCATCTAGGGAGGGTGATCTCGCCGATTCGGGAAGACACGTGGACTTTACTCCACAGCGCATGGTCTGGAAAGAAGGTCAGCTGGTGAACACCGTGAAGAAGATTGCTTACTTCCTCCCTCAACCATCAAAGACCCTCACTCTATTTTCACTATGCATGCTCAGAGTGTGTAAATAAATTCTGGGAACTTATTATCATAAGACACCCCTTCCTGGGAAATCTAAGGAATAGGTTTGATTTGTGTGTATGTAAACTGACGTCGCTTGCTCGTTCTGGGCAGCCCTTCTGGTGGGGGATCCCCAGGGCGACCCCAGCCCTGCTGACAAACAGAACCTGCTTAACGGTCCTGTTGGGTTCTGACTGCTGGGTGAATTCCTTTGTTTCACAGGGGCATCCCCCCCCGCCTCCAGCCCCCCACTGCCCTGCAGGGGACCCCCACATCACACTGCCGATCCACAGGGGGCTGTTCCCACCTCACCCCAGTAGAGTGGCCTCCTCCCAGGACAGGCAGGGTAAGACGGGAGCTGCAGGGAGGCTGGGGACGCCTGAGCTAGTCCAGCCCTTACCTCGGCGAGGTGCTTTCCTTCTTGGAGACGTTGAGGTGGAAGATGGAGGGGGCCAGGCACACAGCCAGGTTCCCGGCGGTCATCTGGTTCTCCTCGGCGGAGGCGATGTCGCTCAGGAAGTAGAGCAGGGTCTGCAGCACCTCCCGGTTCTCGTCCGGCATGAGGATAACGGCCGCCTGCACCGCCGGCAGCCGCTGCTCCTTCGACACGACTGCGGGCACAGGGCGAAGCCGGCGGTCAGAGGAGCCATCCCCGCGGGCCCGACGCCATCGCCTCCGTCCAAGTGACTGGGGAGACGCCTCCTCCCTGGGAGCCCCCGACTTTCCTCCCCAGGCCAGCACTTACACTGGTAGATCTGCAGGAAGGTGTCCGTCAGCTTGCTGGTGAAGATGGGCTCCGGCAGGTCGCGGAAATATTGCTTCAGCAGGTCAGCCACGTCGTACGCCGACTGCCCCTCGTAGTTGACGTGGTCGGGGCTGGTTTCATTCATGTGCCGGAGCGCCTGGATCCGGGACTTCACCCCTGACTTCCGGAAAATGCCAACCTGCCGGGGAAGAGCGGGTTGGGGTGAGCAGAGGGCGGGCACCGACCCGGGCAGGATCCCACGGGACAGGCCGGGAAGCCCCTTCCCCAAAAACCTCCCTCCCTGCAACCCCAAGGAGAACCCTGAGTGCGGGATGGCCATGGAGACACGGGTGAGGGTGGAGTCCCCACAGACTATCTCAGCCTCCCGCTTCACCACTGCCAAGCGCCACAAGAGGCGAACAAAAAAGCACTCCTGCAAGGTGGGTTTTTTCCCCAGATCGGGCAGCGGCGGCCTCACCTGGTCCAGGCACTGGCTGCGGAGGTAGCGCATGGCCTGCTGGATGCTCTGCGGCAGCGGCTGCCCCGTCCGCTGCACGTTGATGACGGGGGGCACCCCGAAGACTACCTTGTCCCTGTAATCGGGGACTTTGCTCCGCTTCATGAACTTGGGCACGGTCCTGCGGGACGGGACAGAGACATCAGGGCGGCCCCCCAGCACCACCCTGCAGAGGGCAGCAGGACCCCCGGGAACACACATACAGGCGCTTCTGCCACCTTCTGAATAGAGGTTTTCGAGCAGGACAGCAGCACCTTTTATTAAGCCAAAATGCTTTAACACTCAGCTGGAAAAGGAACCCACTGTCCCGCGCTCTGGCACTGCCGTGGCAGTTTTAACACCCCGCAAATGCCTGCGGCCCTCCTGGATGCAGATGCTGCCGGGAGCCCCCAGCTCACACTCGTGAGGATGCCCACAGCTGTGCAGGGCAAAGCCAGCTTTTGTTTCAGCTTTTTTCCCCCTCCCTCTCCACATCTGCACACACTGAAGCTGCCACAGGCTGCGGGACCTGAGCTGGGGGCACCACCCACCGTGGGGGCACCGACCCGGCCCCGATCCCCCCCAGCTCACCACGTCCAGGCCTGCTTGTGGGGCACCGAGTACTTCTCCATGATGGCCGTGAGCCGCAGCAGGGAGCACTTCTGGAGCAGGTTGAGCTGGGCAGAGGACTGGCGGTTGATCTCCAGGGAGGCAGAGTTGAGGCTGGGCCGGTGGGAGTTCTGGAAGCTGTGCCAACGCAGCTTCCTGCGGGGAGAGGCTGGGGTGAGAGCGGGCAGCCCAGGGACGGCCCTTCCCTGCCCGGGCACCCACTGCTTTGGGGGAAGGAGCGGGCGCAGCGGCACCCAGGCTGAGCCCAGGGCTCCTGGTGCCACCCACTGGGTGCCCACAAACCCTGCCTGGTTCCCCTGGAACAACCAGCACCCTCTGCCCCTGCGCCTCGGGCTCGCTGCGCCCGCACCCAAGGGCTGTGCTGGGCGATGGGGCAGAGCCGGGACGCTCGGGTGCAGGGCGGCAGCAGGACCATCGCTGCACTGAAGGGGACGGCTCCAGCGTTGGCGCTCACGAGAAGTGAAGACACCCCGGCGAGGCAGCGCTCTCTCAGGAGCCTGCTAAAACCCGGCCCAAGCCCCTGCTGCTCCGGGAAGGCTCCTGCCCAGCTGCTCCGCCGCATCCTCAAGAGACATCCCCCGCTACAGAAACACCCGCAGGCACGCCGCCCTCCAGCCCCCGCCTAGCAGGGGTAGAAAACTCACAGAACTGGGCAGCGGCCGGAGTGTTCTTAGGGCAAGCCCAGGGGAGCACTAGCACAGGGGAAGCAAGTGCCTCCATCCTTCAGACCAAACGAAAAATGATTCAATTCCGGGCCTGCACAGGCAGAGAGGGGGCAGCCTGCGCACAGCAGGCAGGGGTGCAGGCAGCGGTGCAGGCAGCCGGCAGGGAGCACCAGCAGCCCGCGCTGCACTCCCACCACCCCATCCATCCATCCATTCACCCATCCGTCAGTGTCCCCCCATCCGCTCCGTGGCCCCCCCAGGGGAGAGGGTGACCACCGAGCCAGGGCTCTGGCCAGCACCCAACGGCGCCGGTGCTGCCGCAGAGCACCCGTGGGTGCAGGGCAGGCTCGTGGTGGCCCCTGAGGCTTTGCCAGGCCCGGCGGAGGGGAGCGGGGCACAGCTGCAGCCCCCGATTACCTGCAGGGCCGGGTGAGCGACGCTCCCACCCCCGAGTCCCGGCGCTCCCGCATCTCGATCTCTTCGGCCTCGTTGAGGGAGTTGCCGGTGCTGTCGAAGTCGCTGGCAGAGGTGCCCACATCCGACATGGACCGCTCTTCGAAGTGCAGGTTGGAGGGTTCCCCTCCCGAGTCCGACTCCTCCGACTCCTCCTCCTCGTCCCCGCCCTCCTCCCCAGCCAGGTCGGGGGAGACGGCTTTATACCAGAGATTCACCTTCTGCTGCAGCCCCCACATGTGTTGCAGAATGTCGTCGAGGTTCTCGTAGGTCACCTCCCCGTCCTCCTGGCACAAATCCTCGCCGCTGCCGAACTCCGGCACGTTGTCGTAGACGCTGACCCGGCTGCCCAGGGAGCTGCAGGAGCCCCGGCGCCGGCGGCAGGCGAAGCCCCGCGGGGAGGACGAGCTGCCGCCCCCCCCCAGCCCCACGGGCGCATTCCCTGATTTCCAGTGGGTCAGCGAGCTGCCGTCCAAGGGACACAGGCTCTCGATGGAGAGGGATTTGGGGAAGGTGCCTGGCTTGTGGTCCTGGGGGACGTAGACCAAGCAGTCCCCCCGGCGTGCCGGCCTGTGCTGGCACTCTCCGGCAGCCCAGTTGCTGCTGGTGGTCACGGCCGTCTCGTAGTCCTCCAGGTAGACCCCACTGCGTTTGGGGTCGGAGCTCGCCTCACTCCCACCCGAGCCCAGCACGCGGTTAGTCCTGTGCGATACCGAGAAGAAGTGTTTTTTGCCACGGAAAGAGGCAGATATCCCTCGTTTAGAGGAGCTGGCCTTGGTGGCCGCAAGGTCCCTGTTAGTCTTCAGGGAGCCCCATCCCGGTGCAGCCGCGCTGCTGCCGTGCGGGGCCACCTTCTCGTCAGGGCCAGTTTTCTCCTTGTCCTTTCTTCGGAGGGACTCGATCCTCTTCAGGAAGCTGCGAGACCGTCGCTTCTTCGGCTTCTCCTTGGAGCCGTCGCTGCGGCTCGAGGGCCGCTCGGGCAAGGAGCGCTCACTGCAGCTGTGGCTGGGGGCGGCGCCGGTGGGAGCCGGGGGGCCGGGGGGTGCCACCCCGCTGCCGCCGCTGTGCAGGGACGCGGCCTCCGGGTTGGTGCTGAGGTCCGTGAGGACGCTCTCATGGCTGGACGCCAGGCGCATGGCAGAGCTCAGCGCCTCTGAGCCCTGGGAGAGGACGTCGACGGAGCCCACCCGGGACCACCGCTTGCTGTCCCTCTGGAAAGCCCACCGGTCACTGATGGCGCACAGGTCTTCCTCCTCGGAGTCTTCATTCTGTGGGCGGTTGAGAAGAGGGGACGATCAGTCGGTCAGAGCTGCCGAGGGTCGGCGCATCCCCCCATCCCACTCTCCACAGGACCCCAGGCGGGGAAGGAAGAGCCGTGCACACCCCCAAACCTTCAGCAAGGGAGGGCTCCGGGAGCCACCCCGCACCATTCTGCCTCACCGCACCGGGGGAGGGAAGGGGCTGCCTCCAGGCTGCCTCTGGAGTGCTCAGCGGCGGTCGGGACCCTGCCGAGCCTCCGGGACCCCCATGTTGCTCCTGAACACAGGATTGCTGCCCCACCAGTGCACACACCTTCCCCCGTGCCCCTCGAACACCCACGATCTACCTGTTTACGCTGAAAGTGGACTTCCAGCTTCATGGAGGCACATGTGTTCAGGGTCATCAGCCTCCTGCAAGAAACCGCGAGAGGTTTTACCCAGCTGCTGGCCCCTGCTGGGGCCGTGCGCGCTTTTTCCTTTTTTTTCCTGGTTCTCAGAGCCCTTCCTGTGCACCTGGCAGCTGTGGCTCCAGGGATCGGTGGGACACACGGAGCTCCATGGGCAACCCACGGCTCTGACACCCACCCAGACCCCCCCTCACCATCCCTTGGGCACCTAAGCCAAGGGGTGAAACCTCTGGAGCAGCACAATCCCATGGCTGTGCGCCAGGAGGGATCTGGGAAGCGTGGCCATGGGAGCGGCACTTGGCTCTGGCCACGCTGGCTCTGGGGCATCCCGGCTGTGCCTAAACCCCTGCAGCCACCCTGGTGCCCAGCATTTGCTCTCCCACAACCACAACCGAGGCTGCGTGGGTGCTGGCCACCTCTCAGGTGGCGTTTGCCTGGTGTCCCGGCTCCCACCGATGGCTGCGGGGGCAGCCGTGACCCCCACCCCGCTGCCCATGGACAGGGGTCCCAGTCCCTCTCCCCTGCAGGCTTGGGGAGACCCGTCCCCTCCTCCCCGGGGCCAGGCTGGCCCCCAGCTGGGCCCTTCACCTTCCTCTGGCCTGCAGCTTCAAGTCCTGGGGTTCATTTCTTCTGTGTAATCTCCAGTTAACTCACCAGTTAGCACCTTCGTGAAAGCTACAACAAGCACTTCCAGCGTGCAAATACCGCGTCTGCACAGCCAAGAAAACACACCCCAGGGACACGTCACCAAAAGTGTGACTAATGGCCCTTTTGCAGCCCCACTGACACCCCCCGACTGCGAGCACCCCACGGCAGGATTACACCCACCAAGTCTGGCAGAAGGAATGAGATGGGAAGATGTGTGTGCTAGGGAGGAAGAGAACATGCTCAGGGGTTCATTTTCTTGGAAAAGCCGCATTTTCCAGTGTCTTTTCAGACTTTTTTGTTAGGCAAACGCTGCACAGGGCCACCTTGGGGAGCGGGGGACATTCAAGCCCTACATAGCCCGGCCGCAGCGATCCTGCAGGACAACCTGCCCGGGGTTGTCAGAGCAAAATGATCTCAGGGGCTCCTGTGGCAAAAGGACCTGGAAGCCAAGGCAGGGCGGGACGGTCAGAGACCTCTGTCACCTCCCGCCTCGTGGCCACACCAGGCGGGAAAACCGGGAGCTCGCTGGGCTCCCGCGAAGCTGCAGAGGATCCCCCCACCCTGCCTGGCGCCGCAGCCTCTCCACTGGGAGAACAAACCCATAACAGACCCCTTCCCCTCCCTCAGCCGCTCCGTCCGGCAGCAGCGAACGCAGAAATCCCCGACAGAAACATCGCACCCAGGAGGAGGAGGGACCCACCAGCACAGACTTCACCTGCATAACGCAAATCACCGCGACAGCCCCGCCGCGAGCACCCGCAGCTCCTAGCGACCCGTGCGGAGCACTGATAATTAGTGGTGTGCGACTTCCACGCAGCCCCCTGCACCGCACCGGCACTCCGCGCTCCCTCTCTGCCTGTTCCCTCTCCTCCACAGGCACCACGTGCTTGGCGACCGGGGGAAACTCCGTCTGCTGACACGATTGCATCCACAGGCACTTTGACCCGGATCTGCCTTTTGCTGACAGCCAACCAAGACCCCTTCGCTCTGATGCGGAGACCCGGTTTCCAAACTCCGTTTTGTTCTCAGAGACATTATGGACCATCCGTGCAAATTAAAGCCCCGTAAAACCACCCCGGGCAGACACGGCTCCCGGGGCAGCTGGGGGTGGAGGGGGGAGCGTGGGCTGTGGCGACAGCAGAGCTGGGTCTGTCCTTGCACCTCGGCTCAGTTTGTCAGTTCAGCCCTCACCAGTCCATTCCTACTCGAGCTCTACAGGAGTTACACAAGCGTGAAATTAAAACACAGCCCAAAAGTCTCACAAAGAGAAGAATTATTCCTGGGAAATGTTCCCATTCTCCAGGAGAGATGTATGTTCAAACCAAACCCGCTGGTGTTTCCCCAGCACCAATAGCTATGCTGTCCGATTCGAGAGTCAAGCACCCGCACTCCTCGCTGCAGGGGGAGTGACGGTGCCCGAGGGGGCTCTGAGCCGCAGCCGGGGGGCCAGGCAGACACCCCACAGCACCCACAGCCCCAGGACCGCGGGCAGCCCCCCCAGCCCTCGCCTGGGTCATGTCCCCGCGCTGGCCCCACTGCCTGCGGCCGTGACGGGGTGCGAGGGAGCATCACCTGCACAGGGATTTGAGGGAGTCCTGGTCCAGGAAGCTGTGGTCCTTCTTCACAGCGCCGATGTCGAGAGGGAACGATGAGTCTGGGGAGGAAAGCAACAGGAAAATCAGCGGCTGTTTGTGAACCAGCTGCTCCATCAGGCACAAGGGCCGGCAGTGAGCGTGGGAGGAGGGGATGCTGCCAGGAGCAAGGGGAGAGGCCGAGGATGGAGAGCTGGGGAAGCGGGAGAGCGGCGGAGGGGAAAGGCGTGGGGGTCTCCTGGGGCAGGATTAGTGGTGGGAAGAAGCTGGGAGGGCTGGAGCATCCCCTTGCCAGCGGGACCTGCCACCCGTGACAGCGAGGCAGGACTCGACCCGCACTCCCGGCAGCGGTTCCTCCGAGGGATCACTCTGAACCCACAGCCCCGGGAGGCAGCCAGCAAAGAGCCAGAGCAAGACGCAGAGGGAGCAGAGCGGGAGGGCCGGGGATGCCCTGGTGCCGTGGAGGCGAGCGCAAGCCAAGAGCAGGGGTGGGAGGGATGAGTCAGGCAGAGGAGAGGAGGAGAAACAACCCCCACCGGGCTGGGAGCGGGAGGGCTTGTGGCAGCCCCGACGCTGGGAGGGGATCGGAGTCACGCAGCAGACACCCCTCACATCGCCTCCTCCTCCTCCTCCTTCCCGCTCACAGGACAAACAACCCGGTCACCGTGCCAGGACCTTGGCGTGCCCAGGGCAGTTAAAGCCCACGGGAATGGCTCCTGCGGGGCCGGAGTGGCGGGCTGGCTTCAGCACTGCGTGAGATGAGCTGATTCAGAAATAACCACCAGCCCTTCGCCGCGCGTTCGCTCGCCCACACAGGTACCACCGCCCAGCCCTGCTCCCAGCTGCGCACATCTGGAGCCCCGGCTGCCCCTCCATGGGCAGGTGGGACAGGGACAGGGATAGGGACCCCCTCAGCTTCTCCCTCAGCACCTCAGGGTGGTCTTTGGAGAGCAGCCACCTCCCTAACACCGCCCTGGAGACATCCTGGTGTCCCATAAGGCCCTGCATTACAGAGTCCCAGAATCATCTCATCTGGAAAAGCCCTTGCAGCCCCTCCAGCCCAACCATGACCCTCCCCCTGACCCTTCCCAACTCCCCCAGATCCCTCAGCGCTGGCTCAGCCCGACTCTTCAACCCCTCCAGGGATCCCGGGGACTCCCCCCTGCCCTGGGCAGCCCATTCCAACGCCCAACAGCCCCTTCTGCACAGAAATCCTTCCTCAGAGCCAGCCTGACCCTGCCCTGGGCAGCTTGAGGCCATTCGCTGGGGCCTGGCGCTGGGGCCTTGGCTCCAGAGACTCATCCCCCCTCTCTGCCCCCTCCTGGCAGGGAGTTGCCGAGGGCCAGGAGGTCTCCCCTCAGCCTCCTCTTCTCCAGACTGAACCCCCCCAGTTCCCCCAGCCGCTCCCCAGCAGACCTGTGCTCCAGAAACATGCAAGAGCACTACACATGCTTTGATTGCTCACCGATGACTCCCTCCTCCCACTGACCCCCCAGGGGCAAGAAAGCCTCTCTGTTCCCTGGGCAGAGCTGGGAGCTGCTAAAAGGCCCCCCCGGGGCAGGCCGTAGGGGTACGGTGGTACAGTAGATCCAGCACCTTGTCAGTACCCCCAGCCCTGGCAGCCACAGGCAGAGACACTCGCTGGCATCGGGGCGGGGGCTGGAGGAGCACCCCGGGGGGGCACATGCCCCAGGGCCCTTGGGCTCTCCCCAAAGTGAGATGCCTGGGAGCCTTCATCCCGCGCCCTGCTCACCCCTGTGCACCCGGACAGCTCTGCTGGGACCAGCTACCAGGGACTGGGGCCATCACCCACAAGCGTCCGAGCCCAGCTGCTAATGCAACTGTGGAGTGTAATTACCGAGGGGACAGCGAGCCGGGCCAGCTGGGGAGAAAAACAGAATGAAACACTTGGAGGATGTGGAAAGTTTTGCTCAGTGAGGCTGGAAAAAGGGTCAGTTTATTCATAGACTCCAGCACCCAGCACCCGCTCCTCGCCGCCCCGGGGCTGTAAACGCTCTCGGGGGCCGACACCTGGGTGTCCCCCGCAGGAAAGGAACCCGTCCCGTCCCTGCACGTGGCCGCGCGAGCAGCCTATCCCCCGAAATAGAAACGAGAAGCCGAGAGGCAGCCTGTAAAGCTATCACCCGGGCGGCAAGAGCGTGGCTCCCGCACACGTGTTGCGGGGGGCGGTGGCAGTGCCCGGCCGAACAATGGCCATGGCTGCAGCCCGCCGGAGAGCCGCTTCCCGCTATTGTCCCGGCCAGCCGAGGCCGGCTGCGGCCACCGCTCCACGGCACCGGCCCCCCCGTCCCGCCGCAGG